CATTACGTTGCTGTCTTGCCGCCAGCCAATCGCTGCATTGCTGATCGTGGTTTCGAGTATCGATAAATCTACCCTTTTCGGGGAACACAAAAACACGCAGTAATCTTAGACAACTTAATCCAGATATTTTAATCAAATCCGCAAATTCGTTTGAAGAACCAAATTAGCCAGCGATCAGTTATCACGATTAGAAGATCTGGCATCTTTTAAGTCATCTCAGATGTGTTAAGCGAAGTACAAAGAACGGGCCCCTGGTCTCTTTACTTGATCCTGTTTTGTCTGCTGTCCTAAACCAGTTATAAGCGGGTCTTGTTTGATACCTAGAATCAGTTAACAAGTGTATTTTGTCTGGTACCCAAAACTGTTTTAACTAGAAGTCTTCTATGAGCCTAAGAGGTTGATAAAGGAAGCCGCAGAAGACAGAGTGATGATTATAAAAACTAAGCAGGGTTTATGGATTAATCTTAGTTGTGTATGTTCGTCCAGACTGGACTTTGTCTGTCTGACCAGTACAAATCCAACAGATGTCATTATGCCATAGCAATGGAAAATGACTGCTTCACAACATTGTCCTGTAAAATTAAAAGAAAGGTTGGCACACTACAGCCCCAAAAATGTTTTTCATGTTTTCACTACAGGTGACGTTTTGAGCCGTATGGCTCTTCATCAGACAATTAACACCTATACTAATGAGCCCTTAATTACTAGCAGAAATTACATCACATGATTTGTGATGATTACACGCCACATGACAGAAACCCAACTAAACACTCGGGAAAACAAATGACATAGCTGAAATAAAAGTGAAAACATAAAATACCAAGAACAAATGACAACATTATATTTAAAGTTATACATTCGGTTTCAAAGAAAGGTTGGCACACTACAGCCCCAAAAATGTTTATTTCATGTTTTCACTACAGGTGACGTTTTGAGCCGTATGGCTCTTCATCAGACAATTAACACCTATACTAATGAGCCCTTAATTACTAGCAGAAATTACATCACATGATTTGTGATGATTACACGCCACATGACAGAAACCCAACTAAACACTCGGGAAAACAAATGACATAGCTGAAATAAAAGTGAAAACATAAAATACCAAGAACAAATGACAACATTATATTTAAAGTTATACATTCGGTTTCCACACTACACTACATTGGCATTGAAGCTGTCAAATTACCTCGTAGAGGGGGTGATTTGAACAATTTGCTTTTAAACCGTGTAGCCTATTGGAATTATACTTTGAACACATTATCACCTAATGGTCTTAATGAAGAGTTTGATATTCGTCCTTTTTTGCATTCATGATGCTGATTGTATTTGTGTTTTTGATCAGGTGTGTATGTTAGATTGTTGTGACTTGTTCTTGGTATTTTATGTTTTCACTTTTATTTCAGCTATGTAATTTGTTGCCCGAGTGTTTAGTAGTTGGAATTATTTTTTTTTATTTTTTTTTGTGCTCCGTATATGTTCATTGTCTGATGAAGAGCCATACGGCTCAAAACCTCACCTGTGGTGAGAACATGAAATAAACATTTTTGGAGCTGTGGTGTGCAAACCTTTTTTTTTTTTTTTATCGTTTACAACAGTTGAGCACCCTC